CTCGGGATAATCTCCTTCAAAAACTTACAGGTAACCTTAGCGAATTACCGGGAAGTACTGCACTTAAGAAGATCATGCCTACTTCCGTTTTGTGCAAAAGGACGGAGTGCGAAGTACTAGCCTGCTTTGGAATCCATTTAACGTATCATCTGTCACTGATGTCGATAAGTAGCAGCAGATTGCAGCGAAAACAGCCTTCTTATCGTTTTTTTTCTCTTCGAAGTTTCATCAAGGGCGACCACATTGTGTTTGGTGTTGTATGCCGCATCTAACAACATGAATGTTATGGTTTTGACGTTGCACGTCGAGAGCAGAACTGCTGTGGGTACATTATAATCACAATCTTAACCATTTTGTTTACTGCCTATTCTTTTTAACGGCAGGGTATTTTGCAAAATGTAACTATTAAAATGCTGAGATATTTGCAAAACTCCGGACCACAGGTGCTTGCTGTGGGGAACGAACGCGCTATTGTCCTTTCTGGGGAGTAACACGTTCACCACCAAATCATGCGGGTCCTTCGTTTCGACTGTCTCGATTTGGGCTCCCTAGATCAATCCCGTTGACGGGTCATTGCTGATGGAAAAAGATCGATAGAACTAGTTGAGAGACAGTCGAAACGGAGAACCCGCATGGTGTGATGGTGAACGCATCACTCCCCGTAAAGGACAATAGCGCGTTCGTTCCCACCGCAAGCACCTGCGGTCCGCAGTTTTGCAAATATCTCAGCATCATAATAGTTATATTATAATCGTTCAGACCCTGTTATGTCTTCTGCTTGAATATGTGGAATGCCAGTCGATAGCGGTTTTCAATGGGATTTCGATAGTTCTGTGCTCGAACATTCCCTTGATCTTCACAAGCAATTATCTTGCGAATAAAATAAAGTAGCTTTCTCATTTGCGATTGGGCTGCTCTCAGGATTGCAAAGATTCCAGCAATCTACTTTTTCGATGTTCTATAAAACAATTGTGTTTCCTTAAAATATACAAAGTTTAGTTACCAGGATCGACTTTCTCTTAACTTCGGCATTGGAATATGAATGTGTCGTTTTCTTGTTCAGCAATCGCGAGGTTTTTAAACAGCATACATTTACTTCCATAAAAAACACAATGCATTGGAATATGAATGTGTCGTTTTCTTGTTCAGCAATCGCGAGGTTTTTAAACAGCATACATTTACTTCCATAAAAACACAATACAATACAACGCTTGCTGACGTTTCGGCAGTATCGCCTTCTTCAGAGCCGCTTTTTCGTGACTTCCAATGAGGAAGTTTAGAACAGCTGATTATAGTTGCATGTAGTTGACGACTGCACCATCCCACATCAAAAATCGATGCAAACGTACTGGATCAGGTCGCGTATGACCTCCGGACATTCATCCCTGCTATTCATTGTAGGGTTTTTGGCATTTATCCAAAAAGCCTCAAGAAGTTTTCGCGCTGGTGTTTTGGACTCCTGTGCAAGGATATTGACTTTTACTTCAAAATCGTCTCCGCAATTGTTACACGACATCAGGTATATCGTACCTGAACTCATGCAATCACCGTCTCTGCTGTCGTCTTCTCTACGCAGGAGGAGATGGACAAATGCTTTGAATTATTGAACGAGCAGTCCGAGTACATAAAGTTCACCCGGGAGAAACCGAGAGAAAACTGGCTTCCGTTTTTGGACGTCCAAATAAACCTATCAAGTAGCGGTTACCTGACAAAGTGGTATCGAAAGCTAAGCAACAAGAACATCTTTGTTCATTTCCTTTCTTCCCACCCTTCACACACAAAGAGGGCGATTGTGAGAAACATGTTTCGAACAGCCACCTCTGTGTGCACTACCAGGGAACTAAAGAAGAATCGCGCGACTTGGCTCGGCAAATAGCCATCTCCAATGGCTACGAAACAGTAACCCCACGAGATANCTGACAAAGTGGTATCGAAAGCTAAGCAACAAGAACATCTTTGTTCATTTCCTTTCTTCCCACCCTTCACACACAAAGAGGGCGATTGTGAGAAACATGTTTCGAACAGCCACCTCTGTGTGCACTACCAGGGAACTAAAGAAGAATCGCGCGACTTGGCTCGGCAAATAGCCATCTCCAATGGCTACGAAACAGTAACCCCACGAGATAAGCTTACAAGAAGAACGATGCGCACACGCGAAACACTTGGCCAAAACAAAATCCCGTTTATGTTGCCTTTCATAAGCGATGAAGTAAGCGCAGCTATGAAACGATGCTTAAGGGCAGGTCTAGAGGAATCGGTAGCGATAGTTGAAATACCACCGACTACTCTACGTCGCCAATTAGTTTGCAACCGCCTGTATGACCGTCTGTGTGAAACAACAAATTGTGTAATTTGCCCTTACGGCAGGGACGGGGATTGCATGAGTTCAGGTACGATATACCTGATCTCTTGTAATAATTGCGGAAATGAATATATTGGCGAAACGGGCAGACCTTTGTGTATCCGTATAAAAGAACACCTAGATGGCAAACGAAAACTAAGACGAAGCACCCCACTAGGCACGCATAGGATACAAAAGCATAGCGGAGACGATTTTGAAGTAAAAGTCAATATCCTTGCACAGGAGTCCAAAACACCAGCGCGAAAACTCCTTGAGGCTTTTTGGATAAATGCCAAAAACCCTACAATGAATAGCAGGGATGAATGCCCGGAGGTCATACGCGACCTGACCCGGTATGTTCGCATCGATTTTTGATGTGGGATGGTGCAGTCGTCAACCACATGCGACTATAATCAGCTGTTCTAAACTTCCTCATTGGAAGTCACGAAAAAGCGGTGGGTTTTTCGAGAAGTTGTTGATCATGTAATTACCAAAGAGTCTTTCGTCTTTGTGTAAGTGTTATAGAAGCGTTTGGCCTAGTAGATTGTATATCAGCATACCCTTCCAGGCTCTGAAGAAGGCGATACTGCCGAAACGTCAGCAAGCGTCTTTCGTCTTTGTGTAAGTGTTATAGAAGCGTTTGGCCTAGTAGATTGTATATCAGCATACCCTTCCAGGCTCTGAAGAAGGCGATACTGCCGAAACGTCAGCAAGCGTTGTATTGTATTGTGTTTTTATGGAAGTAAATGTATGCTGTTTAAAAACCTCGCGATTGCTGAACAAGAAAACGACACATACAAAGTTTAAATAATAAAAATGTACATAGTCACTAAAGTGAACATTTACTTTCAGCCTTATTACAATTTTTAGTACTTTTTAAAGTAGGAATCAAAAATGGGATAAGAAAATAAACCTTCACGTTCTTCAGCTCTCTGCACAGTGATTCACCAAACCGAGCGTATGATGAAGTGAGTCTAGTGTCACTATTCTTGTGTGGGGAGTGGCCCCATGATGAATGTTGTCTGACAGCAACACTTGGTGACTTTTGACGCAATTTGGGTGTCGGGCAGCGAGCATTCTCTTCTGGTGCCATTCTTGGCGCTCCTCGTAGTGCGACCTTTGCAGGAGTGCCGGGAGACGTGCGATTAGACGTCAGTGGCGACACACTGCATCTAGCATGGATACGTTCGTCGATCGTCGTTCGAGGAGCCGGTATTGGCTTCTGCGGCTTGGATCGCTAAATATTAGCAGACACGTTACTTACAAATGTATTGGACTTATTTTTTGCCTTCTGAGTTTGACAGGAGATGTGCTAATTGCAGGGAATTGTAAATTAAAGAAAATATACTATATGTTAAGATAAGCGGGTCCTAATATATTTGGGACGAAGCAGGTTTCTAAGAAGTGCCGATATAGGAAAGACTTAGCTCTATTGCTCTGCGGGCATACATAAATTTTCTGAAACACTTCTTTGGTTGAAAGTCCTTTAGAATTTAAATGTTTAGATTGGCAAATTCAAATTTTCAAAAATTTCAACACATGTGTGGCAACCACAAACATTAACAACGAATTCGGGAGAGTCGTCACGACCAACGAGCATCCCCACCCACCTGTGTTGGAAAGCTGGAGCCATACCTGTCTGGGGGGATGACAAGACTAATGTTACATATCGATGGGGGCTGCTCAAGTCATTGTAAAAGCCAAATATACACTCTTTTGCTGCTATTACGCTTAACACCAAATCTTCCATCCCTCCGGAGTCAGAAAATTGGTACCAGACTTGTCTGCGAGGATAGCAGAACTGGCTTGATACATCGGTAGGCCACCGCGAGTCATTGCAAAGGCAGATATGCATTCAATCACCTCCAAGCAGTGCTTAATGAAGTCGAATGCATGGCGCATCCCTCAGGGATTGAGCAACGCTGAGAGCTTTATCCTTTTCATTGAACGATGAAACGTATCACTCAGTGAACCTTTGGCAAATGTTTTTAAGCTATAAAAAGTTGAAACTAAAAGAAGGTGCACAAATAAACGCAGAGGTGAGAAATGGAAATGAAAGTAAAAGGAAGCAAAATTAAATTAATATATAATAAGATAAGCTTAATAAGAAAGATGACATCTAAAAACAAAGCGATACTAAGTGTCAAAAATTTGTCCTCTTTAACGAAAGTAATACCATCTCAGGTCGTAATTGTTCATGACATGCTTCGTTTGGACTCTGGGCTACAGAGAAGGACATCGCTTCTGCTGACGCATTCGACCTGTCTGAAGACGTCGGTGGTGGGACCTGAAAGCAGACGACATCGATGGAAACGAAGCTACAGAAAAATATCTTCTCGAAAATCGTACATAAAGTGGATCTTTCAAGAAGCATAAATATTTTTCGTTGGTAATTTCTTGTTTTTGATCCGAATGACATCCCAGTGAAAAACGAAAGAGTTATCTCTTCTGGGACCTATTTCAGGCATTTTTTCCCCTAACTCTATAAAAACAATAAGGCCTAAGGGATTCTAAACCTTCACCATAAAAATCACAGCGAGTACTATAAGTAGCAAAATTTGACTCCAATATTTCATGACATTAAGTAGAGGGAGTATCAAGTACGAAAAAGAGGTTTTTGAACAAAGTTTCTTTACAATCCGCACACATATTAACGATACTATAGAAACTCTCTCGCCTCCTCAGTAGGCAACGGTGTGAAAGCCTGCGGTGTCTCATCACCGTTTGAATCCGACAATGACACTACAAACGTCGCACTTGAATCCTGAAACTCCACAAATCACGAGAACAATTAATATCGATCGATAGGTTGTCGTCGAAATCAATTACCTCGCTATCCTTTGTGAACGCCCTGTTCTGGCTGCTCGTTGTCGAGTAAGTTGAGCCACCGGAAATGGGATCATGAAACGACGACGACATGAGGGTCTCGAATGATGAAATCCACGAATCCACGCTGTAGACCGATGACGTCATGTCTACGCCCAGTCCTACCGGTGATTTCGACTTGCTTGAAGTACTCTGCACTGAGCCGAATGTTGACGTCATCGGCTCGATTACTGAGGATGTCATGAGTTTATCTTTAGCACATCGACTGTCAACGATCGTCTTCGGTTCGCACATCGACTGTCGATGAGGAGGCACAGGAGGTGGTTTGATGCCTGCACGATCGTTTAGCTGAAATTCCAACTATGTATTGTTCCCACCCCATAAAAAATGTTTCAAAAGTGTCTCCAAAAAGAACATAAAACTTGTCAAAAATCTTTAAAAGTTAAGCTTTCAACTAGACGGTAATAAAAGGCCAGCGTACCGGTGAGAAATTTAGACCGCCATTCTTGAGAGAGGAATTTTGATTCTTCCCGTCAGTTTTTTGACTGAACACAGAAAAACTATCTGTCTTTTCATGCTGTGCCAAATCTATGCAGCTTGATGGCAATGAATCCAGTTCAGCAAGAATTTGTGAGGTCCATCTGAAACATCACATCGTCTGTCTCATCTGATTGATTCTGAAGCTGTTCTGGCACTTAAGGGTTGTGCTTGCGCTTTACTTTAAGCAGACATTTCTTAACGGTGTGTCGATTTTCTGTTGATGTCGGTCAACATTTTAACGATCTCAACTTCCGGTGTAAGACCTCGGGCCGGTTTTTTAACAAAGAGTTCCGCAGTCTACTAATGTATGCTTTCGTCTTTCAAAAAAGCAGAGGATCTCTCATAAGAGGTGCGTGATACACCGGAAACTTTAAAGTCAATAGAACAAATGCAGCCATAGTACGCAGTGATAGTGAACGGAGACTTTACTGAGAGTTGATTTTAAGCGAGTAAATCATATATCAAATGCAAAAAGGTTTTTAACTACTACGTAGGAGATCCATAACTTAGCAAAAAAAGCTTCATCAAAATCTCTGTAACATAACATGACGAAGAATAAATAGGACTAAAGAATAAATAACATATCTTGCAGTACTTCTCAAGATCGACTTCCTGTTAACCTCGGGATTGATGAATAACTCTCTATCTGTCTGATTAGAAAACTTGAGGTTGCTATTACAATTTATTTATTCATAAGAGCTGACGTTTATGTAGATCTCGCCTTCTTAAGAGTTTGCTGGAAAGGTCAAGTTAACTGCAACCTGGTTAGCCAAACACCTCCGTAACCCAACCAGAAAATCACAACACCTAATTTTCAATCGCATTAAATATAAAACATCTTCTCCATAGACTCAAATACAGAGTAATTGCAGCTTCATGTGAACTTTGCACGGTTGGCCTCCACGTGGAATACTCACTGGAAAAATAGAAAGCGATGAGTGCGTGAACAAGCTGTTTATACCTAATCCTTATGAAAATTAGGTACAGCGGTTTTTTCAATGTGATTACGAAGGCATTCGGTTGAGTAGGTTGCGGTTAACGTGAGCTTTCCAGGGTATGAAAAAGATGAAGTCAGGGAAAACGTTAGCTGTTATGAATAAATAATTTATAACAACCTAGTGTGCGCTAATCAAGAAAATAGCGAGTAAATAACATAATTCCTACCGATGTAATGCTCCGTCTTTTGTTTGATAGCTGGGTTTCATCGATTCCGCATTTTTTCATCACTAGTTACCCACTGCTCAGTACATTACCTCTCTTTCGCTTTTCTACTGGTGAGATCTCACCTGGTTACGGAGTCCTTATTGGAGAAGTCGAACTCTTCTCCGTTCAAATCCCTCACACTCATTGAACGCCCTTCCCACCTTAAATAAAACCGTTTTAGGGAGAACTTTCGAAATGAAATGAATTTCATCATAAAAGAGACGAAAAAAAAAGTCGCGCCAACGTGTAATTAAGGCAAGATAAGCGAATAGTGATTCGTTGGGTACATGGCGAAGTAAAATATTTTGTTGTTCAAATCAATGACAGATTTTTTTTCTTGTTTTCTTTTTTTTTTCTTTATCCATTTTCTAACTTTTACCTATTTTTCTGTTTCTCTCCTAAGCATATGGATGTATGAATGAATATTTTCAATGTATGGCTTGTCAATTGAACAGGTCATGACTCTCTCAAAAGATTGTCTGAGCTGCTCAATCCTAGGTGGTCCGGTAGATATTACGCGCAAACCAAAGCGTTGGCAATAGGAGAGCGATTGACACCAAACCTTGTCACTGTGTCTAACGTGAAAGCTGTAGCTCTTGATCGCCCACCTTAACTTACTCTGCTATCAAAGTAGATAATCGTTTCGTCATTTGCACTACACAAGAGGTTGGTAAATGTTTTGTAATATCGTATGAACAGCCAGAGCATATAAAGTTGATGTGGGGAAAATTCAATTAATAAGAAAAGAAGGATTTTTCACTTAAACGTTCACATACACACTTCGACTACAACACAAAGTGACACTAAGTGCACTACCCCAAACAAGCGCTGCTAGTAAACCGTGTCTACAGACAGTTGTCTAAAGAGTTGTGTGGCGAGAACCTTATGTCAAATGTTCTGGAATTCGAGAGAGAAGAAGCATGTGAACCTAGTTATTTATATATCAGTTAGGCTGAAAAATAGGTGATGTTTGAACGATTCTTCATAGAGACGGTCCAATCTGTACCAGATACGAAACAAATGGCCAAAATTATATTACAGTTGTTGAGGTGATATTGAGAGTTAGGATAACAATCAATATCTGTAACACAATATTAAAATTTGATGTATCGCCCTTTCTTCCGAGATACCCAGCTTAAGCGCTTAGCAAATAAGTGAGAATTTTTCAATATGATTTTAAAAAACGCTAGAAAACATAAACGACGTAGAAAAACAGGCACTAAACTACGAAATAATAAAAATATAGGAGAAAAGAATCAGTGGAAAAGTGAAATTTCCTCACGCAAATGGGATTTAAAAAGACTATTCTGGCCGATAACGGTAGAAACGGTAAGATGAAAATAAAATTCCAAAAAAAACCAAAGTGTAAAAAACGAGCACAATAGGAGTAGTAAGGGCAGGAAATGGGAAAAGAAGAAATGTTAAAAGAAAGCCTTTACTTTAAGCTGCTCGCGGCGGTCTTTAACTGATCCAAGTTGGTCGTAGAAGCGGCGACCGCCCTCGACTTGAGCAGAGCACTGCGACGGCCAGCACGACGGGCTGCTGGGCCTAGATTCGCCTTTACAATCGCTCAGCGAGAAAATTTCTACTTTATTAGAAAAACGTCTTTATATCGGTGGCAAATCAAAAAAGTACTGAATCAGGAAGAATCATAAACATGGTTCGCGAATTTTATTCCATTTAAAATACAAAAATAGCTGGTGTTTGCGATATAAACACGAAGGTTTGGAAAAAACACAAAGAGAAAACAAAAATGAAGATTGACAATTTGTAGTTCGAACTTTATCCCTTTGACACCGGCTGCCCAAAACTGTAAAAATCAAATATTACCTTAAGGAGAGAAAAATGCCTTAGGTAGGCAAGCAAGAGGGCTCTAAGTGCATCATTACTTCCTAATTCTGTAAGCAAACGTGCTTGAAAACCATAAGACATTGATGTAAGTAGGCTACTGTGTTCCTAATGGGATGATACAACGTTTTTACTACAACATTCACTTAACGATAGCTTCCATGTAGTCGGTCTTAATTTGCAAAAAAAGCCAACCATATAAAAAACGGCTCTGAAGAAAGTGAAGTCTGTTGAAGTACTAGCAATCACAAAATAGATCTCATTTTAATAGCTCACTAAGAACACAGTAATTTCTTGTTCAATGTCGATGTCAATCAATAGAAAGTCGGCGTTGAGAAGTGACATGTTTACTGTAGATTTTTTGGCCCCCGCCATTCACTGCATGGCAAGAAAAACTTTTCTCCTCGCCTACAGTTTGATATTTCTCAACTCGAATGAGTAATTGCACAGACCGCTATATTTCGTCAGTCCTTGTATAAAAACATTTACAGCCTGATAAGATGAAAATTGCAACCCACAGATGATGAAAAACGGTTATACTCACCTCTGGGTGTTTTAACGATCTCCTTTGGCGTGAGTATGTTCACCGATACCGACAAGGCGCGGGTATTGCTTAGCCGTTCGGCCTGGAATAAACGTACTTACGAGAACAAGCCCTCGTTTCGCATTTTAGGTAGTTTTCTTTTGTTCTTATTGGAAATGTGAGGAAAACAGATCTTCAGCAGAACACTTTCGAGAACACATGTTCTTTTTTTCTCCACTGACTAAATGGAACGACTAGTAATCGAGTGTCAAATTAAGAAGTAAAACGGTCATACTTTCTTCATTTACGACATTTATGGAGATAGAGAATTGACACCAAAGAACCGGCAAAAATACGACATTCACGACTTCCTTTTACCTATCTGCTATGCTTTACTATACAGAAGTCAAAATTTCCTTTAAGTCACAAACGCAAGCATTTAGCCTTATTTTTAAAATTATCATCAATTTTAACAAAGACAAAGCTCTTGCTCGATCACCTCAGATCCTTCAGATCCTTCTAGTGACGCAACTTGCAGTGAACGTATGTGAAATGAGATAGTAAGCAAAAGAGAAATATGAGACTGTATGTAGTACGGAAAAAAGTTTGCAACTCTGTTCTTGTTTTATAAAGGCAAACTTTCGAAAACTAAAAACGTATAATGAATAGGATTGCACGAAAGACAGCCGCTCACTACGACGAGCCATGCGCTCGTGCTCAGAGCTTAACAAGGAAGCTTCAACCAATTCCGTAGGATTCCAAACGACTTGAAATCGTACTAGCATCCGCTGCTAATGAAGCCCAATTCCTTAATTCCAGAGCGTACAACGACACTACAGTATTCTCACCAAACCTATCACTACTTACACCGCTGCACTGCACTTTGTCATTATTTTCAGAGCTCGAAGATGCGTGTATCGCAGTGGTCGGAGGCGTCCTGCGATACACACGGGTCGATTCCCGCCTCTAGGCTCAGCAACCTTTCCACCCCTCCAGGGTTGGCGAACTGGTACCAGGGCTGTGCAGAAGAATAACAGCACTGGCTCGATACATTGGTAGGCCACCGCGACTCATCGTAACGGCCAGCCATGCATTCAATCACCTCTAACGATGCTTACTAAGGTCGAATGCATGGCACATCCCTCAGAGATTTATCAAGGTCAAAAGCTTTATCTTTTTTCCTCTAATTTTCAGAGGTTTTCCAATTTGCGCACATACTATGTGACGAGGTAAAACAGAGAAAACACGGCTCACTCGCACACGGTAGCCACCCATGCCTGGACGCCCGGGACAACACAAGTCAACTATTCGGCGGTGTCAGTCATTTTCTTGCCAACTAAGAAATTTTAGGCCAATTTGAACCGAATTTGTGGAAGCCAATAATAAATAGCATAGGACCGATAATTTGATAACCAGGATGGGAGCTTGTGACGAATCGGGTACTACTTCACGAAACTTCCATCTGCACTGCGTAAAATCATTATTCGCAAACCATCCTTGGATCAGAAGCTCTCTAAAACAAAAATGCAAACGGAAATCGATCAATAGACAACGAACACAGGATGGTGCCTATTTCATTCAGCATCTTTCTGCATTGACTCCTATCGCCTCTTCTTCCACGAAAAAATTCGATTCACTCACAAATTGGAAAAAGTTCTGTCACTGCCATCACTGTAGGTAACGAGGATATATATCTAGGTCTTCAGCTATATCTCGGGAAATTACTTTTCCAAAACTATTATGAGAGAGGGGGAAAGAGAGATGAAGAAAACGCTTCTTCCTCAACAGGAGCAGTGACAGACAACAGACAGCGCATAAATTATGCTTTAGAAAACCCAGTGACCAACAGAATGGTTGCAAATCTAAATAACAGTTCCTTAACAGAATACGTTGACGATAATTTTTGAACAACTATAGTCCTCGAAAACTCCTGGTATTGAGGTCGTGAGGGACAAAAATCTTATCGAAGAGAATTTACGCTAGTGCTTTGAGGACACGTGGAATTTTTTTTGAGAAACATGACCTTCACTTAAGTACCTTTCTATGCTCCTAGAATTAAACAGGAAGTTGAACGCAGGTTAAAAGCGACCTTGTACTTGCCCTGAGACGTAGGTTGATTCTCCCGAGCTCCTGTGGATGTTATGAAGAATGGAGACACAGCTTCTGGATGTTCATAAGCATGCCCACGCATGCGTTCGTGGTTGCGTGCGCGATTCACAGATCGTATCTTGAATATCATTTCGAAGAAAACTTCTTTCACGAGGAACGGCTTCGTTTCTGATGACCCACTCACACTCAGTGGGAAAAATTCCTCGAGAGTTCTAACTATGAGTGTCAGAATCAAGGCGTTAGCATACACATACATTGCAACGTTCAGACATAACGAATAGGACCAACAACGATCTATGCTCACCTTTTCACCTCTACGAATCTCCTCGCATTCACGTATTAATCCGAAATCTGGATACTACACAGGCAAGATGGAGATCGCTCAGCGTTATTTATCGCTCTATTGGCAAAGGAGTACCCTGCATTACACAGAAGAGAAAGAAAATCCAAAGTTCCGAGTTATGTTAACGACCAAATACCAAGGACGCAGTTGTATAAGGTGAGATATCGAAAATCGGGTTAATAAAACACAAGATGCCCTAATCGGCATCCAGTGAACAGGAGCCGCTGGTCACTGGTTCTATAGTATGTCAAGCGCACAACCGGAAAACCACCGATCCGATGCTCAGATTCCTAACGAACATCATAGAAGGGATGACGCCATTCTAGTAGTTAGAGCGGTATTGGCACTTGCATGAGGCACGAAGGGGCCCATGTGGCACAGTGGTCGGAGGCGCCTTGCAACACACACGTGGGATCGACCCTCGCGCTCATGCCCCATCAATCCTTCCATTTCTCTGGGGTCGTCAAATTGGTATCATACTTGTCTGGGAGGATAACAGTACTGGCTCGATACATCGGCAGGCCACCGCGAGTCATTGTAAAGGCCAGACATGCATTCAATCACCTCCAAACGATGCTTAATGAAGTCAAATACATGGAACATCCCTCAGGTATTAATCAACGCCAAGAACTTCATCCTTTTTATCCTTTATGGGGCACGAATGAGGACAGGTGGTTGAAGCTGTGATTTTTATGTTAGACGCTTAGACCATGAAATAAAATAAGCTGAACTCTCGAGTTTTCCAAATATCTCACCACCACTGTGACTATATTTCACATGATACCCTTGACTCAAAAAATAGGTAGTAAATAAAATAAAAAAAGTGATTATATTGTGACCTATCCTATAGCTTAAGCTTAAAGGAGTTAAGTGCTGAATTGTGCTGTCCAAGTGAATCCTATCGATGGGTGATTGCTGATAGCACCTATAAAACACGGCTGAAAGAAAGGCGAAATGGAGGACCGGCAAGGTGTGGTGGCAAACGCGTCAGCCCCTGAAAAGAGTGATAGCGTGCTTGACCTCCACCACAGACACCTGCAGTCTGCAGTTTTGTAAATATCTCCGCACCACGATTGGTATGTTTCACATCATAAGATACAGGTGTGGCTCTCAATCGTTCTCACCAACAACGCATTCAGGTCATATTCGTGCCCTGTGGGAAACATCCCATCGTTCAATCGCTTCGTTGCTTAACATAGAAGCACATTCAACAAAAGCGGAACAAAAACCCTTGGTCTTGGAAAAATTAGAATTTCATCGTAATTTAAATGCTGTATCTTGCTATGATTTTATACCCTCGGTAAAGAATTGCAGATTTTAATTACTTCTGTTCAGTTTAACAAAGTTCACTATGAGCAAGGATGGGTCCCGTGTAACGCAGTGGTGAGAGGCATCCTGCCACACAAGTTGTATTAGAAGCAGGTTTGACGGTGCGCCATCTCAAAAAGCGTTCCATGCGTCTGGGATCGGACCAATTGCTACCAAACTTTATCCATTCAAAATAGCTATTTCGGCCCTTTCGCTTTGTTCAAAGCTTTGAAAGGTTAAATTGACATGCAGCCTACTCAACCAAACACTTTCATAACCTCTGCAGACAAAACTTAATGCGTAAATTTCCATTCACATAATAAACAGGTTCTTTTAAACACTCACCGTTTTGCTCTCTGTAAGCTTTCCAGTTGTTATTTGGCAAAGATCAGCCATACAGAGTCTCACATGGGCAAGGAATGTGAACCGCTCAGGTCAAAAAATCAGACCGAAGATGGCGCGATTTCAAGCGTGATCACGAGGCGCTTCCCTTCCGGTTCATTTCTGGACAACTGGAATTCATGCAAAACGCCTCAGCAGTTTAACGCGCTGACGTTTTGGATTCCTGCGCGAGGATAGTGACTTTCACTTTAAAATCCTCTCCGTTATGCTGTGTATTATGCGTGCCCTGTGGAGATTTAGTTTAAATTTACCTACTATGTTAACTAGGAAAGCTTACAGAGAAGAATACGGTAACGTAATTTGCCCTTACGGCAGGGACGGTGATTGCATGAGTTCAGGTACGATATACCTGATCTCTTGTAATAATTGCGGAGATGAATATATTGGGGAAACGGGCAGACCTTTGTGTATCCGTATAAAAGAACACCTAGATGACAAACGAAAACTAAGACGAAGCACCCCACTAGGCACGCATAGGATACAAAAGCATAACGGAGACGATTTTGAAGTAAAAGTCAATATCCTTGCACAGGAGTCCAAAACACCAGCGCGAAAACTCCTTGAGGCTTTTTGGATAAATACGAAAAACCCTACAATGAATAGCAGGGATGAATGCCCGGAGGTCATACGCGACCTGACCCCGTATGTTCGCATCGATTTTTGATGTGGGATGGTGCAGTCGTCAACCACATGCGACTATAATCAGCTGTTCTAAACTTCCTCATTGGAAGTCACGAAAAAGCGGTGAGTTTATCGAGAAGCTGCTGATCATGTAATTACCAAAGAGTCTTTCGTCTTTCTGTAAGTGTTATTGAAGCGTTTGCCCTAGTAGATTGTATATCAGCATACCCTTCCAGGCTCTGAAGAAGGCGATACTGCCGAAACGTCAGCAAGCGTTGTATTGTATTGTGTTTCTCTATGGAAGCAAATGTATGCTGTTTAAAAACCTCGCGATTGCTGGACAAGAAAACGACACATTCATACTCCAATGCCGAGGTTAATAGAAAGTCGATCCTGAGAACTAATACGGTAACTGCTCGAAAGAAGTTGTTTATTATGTGAAGGGAAATTTATGAATTAGGTTTTAAAGCTGAGGTTATGAAAGTGTTTGATTGAGTAGACAGCGTGTTAATTTGATTTTTCCATGCTTTGAAGAAGGCAAAACCGCTGAAGCATCAGCTGTTGTGAACGAATTAATTCTGTAATAACAATTTCGTGCTTGCTCATCAAGAAAACAATGAATTATTGATGGCAGAAGAGGTTAAAAGAAAATCGATCCTGGAATTCGCTAGCAGACATGTTTGGAAGGACAGCAGCACTGACTTGGTACACCGGTTGTATTGTATAGGTTGAGTATGCCTTCAGTCATTACGACGACGCTTGATGAAGTCGAACGCACGGCGCATCCCACAGGGTTTGATCAACGCCCAACGCTTTATCTCTTATGAGATATGTATGAGGAAGGAGTAATCTATTAGTGTAATAAAACGAACTGTTTGAGATAGATGGAGACTGAAGATGGATGATTTTTGTTTTGGATGAAAAAACCACATCCTACGTGTAAATATGGTTAACGTGGTGAACGATTGCTAGATGAGACGAAACGTGACCAAAAACAGCATTACTAGCCTTCCAACCTCTCAAAGACGCTCTTAGACAACTGTAGACATAGATCTCTATTCACCGTTGTCCGAAATAACTACTCAGACCGACTTTCTTTTAACCTCGGCATTGATTGATAATTCGATGTTTTTCTTCAATAAGCAGACACGAGGTTGTTATTATAGGATTTATTAGGATACAATAGCTGACGTTTCGGCGGTTTCGCCTTCTTCAGAGCCTGGGAAGGTCAAATTGAGATGTGATCTACCCAGCCAAACACTTTCATAACCCCAGCATATGAAACTTAACAAAGAAATTTGTATTCGCATAAGAAACAGCTTCATTTAAACACCTACCGTTTACTTGTCGTAAGTATTTAAATTAGTTGATGGATAGCAGCCGCACAGGGTAATACATGGGCGATAACTGTGTCTGCGTCAGGTCAGTGGACTAGCCTGAGGTATGGCGCCAGGTCACGCGTGATGACAAGACACTCCGATCCGAAAACGGCTACAACACAAAATGGTATCGAAAACCAAACAGGAAGAATACAGTGGTTCATTACCTCTCCTCTCATCCCTCACACACTAAAAGGGCGCTTATAAGAAATATGCTTCGAACTGCTGCCAGCGTGCGCACAGGTAGAGATCAGAGGGAAGAATCCTCGAAACTCGCGCTCCAAATAGCCATTTCAAATGGCTACGAAACTGTAGCTTCTCAGGATAGGCATCGAGGAAAACCCACGCCCCAGAGCGATAGTTCTAGCGAAAACAAGGCTCCGTTCCTGTTGCCCTTTATTTCAAACGAAATAAGTGCAGCTATAAAACGCTGCTTAATAAGGGCCGGTCTAGAGAATTCCGCAAGAATGATAGAAATACCATCGGACACTCTACGACACAAGCTAGTTCGCAACCGCCTATATGACCGTCTATGTATAACGAAAAACTCCATAATTTGCCCTAACGGTAGAGACGGTGATTGCATGAGTTCGGGTACAGTCTATCTGATCTCTTGTAAAGCGTGCGGGGACGAATACGTTGGCGAAACGGGTAGACCACTCTGCGTCCGCATAAAAGAACACCTAGTCGGTAAATCTAAATTAAAACCAAACACTCCACTAGGCGCGCATAGGATGCAGGAATACAACGGAGATTTTGAAGTAGGAGACACTATCCTCACGTTGAAGCGTTTTGGATCAATTCCAAAAATTCAAAAATGAACCGTAAGGAGGAGTGTCTTGTCATCACGCGTGACCTGGCACCATACCTCAGGCTAATCCACTGACCTGACGCAGACAGTTATCGCCATGTAATACCCTGTGCGGCTGCTATCCATCAACTAATTTAAATACTTACAACAAATAAACGGTAGGTGTTTAAATGAAGCTGTTTCTTATGCGAATACAAATTTATTTGTTAAGTTTTATATGCTGGGGTTATGAAAGTGTTTGGCCGGGTAGATCGCATCTCAATTTGACCTTTCCAGGTTCTGAAGAAGGAGAAACCGCCGAAACGTCAGCTATTGTATCCTAATAAATCCTATAATAACAACCTCGTGTCTGCTTATTGAAGAAAAACATCGAGTTAACTACTCAGAAGTTGGAATCGAAGAGAAACGAAAAAAGGAATACATTCTGTAACCAGCAACACTGGTAAAAATAGACCGCTTTTCTTAGAAAAGAAATTCAGGTTCAAGTACCTGAAGAAAAGCACGAGTGAAAAATAGGTTCACAAAGTGCCGGGCCTACTTTTCCATTTTAAGAAATTACAGCGCAAGGTGATTAGCATGGCTTAGATTGATGTCGGATGGACGAAGAACGAAAAAAATTACACAGCTATTTGCTGCTGTTGCAGATTTTAGCCGAGTATGGCTCATGTAGGCTGAAAATCCGAAAGAGCTCGGTAACTCCAACAGCAATCAGGAAAAGCCCATCGCAGAACAACATGATCATTCGAAACACATGAAACGTTGTTGACTTACAGGCTTCGATCGAATGGCCGATCCCTGATCGTCGTCTTCGCTCGAGCTGGAGTAACGACGAGTGGCAAGTATGAGACTGGTCTCGGGGTCGATCGTCACCGACTTGCGTTGCTTCCGGGTGAAACGTCGACGACGCTGCACTGGACGATCTAAAGATCCTAGGGTTACACAGGTGTATCGCTCCGCCTAGCATGTGATTGTAATTAAATACGTCTATAAGGATGAAAATCTGTTATTATTTGAAAGAGATAAGTCCGAAAAGACACATCTATAAATTTTCGATGTCGTAAGAATACAACCAAGGACGTATCGTTTTGCAACAAATGAAGACCTATAAACGAAAAATTGAAGGTGACAATGTTAAGGAAAAGTTGGGAATTGAAGTAATAAAGCAATAAACTGTGTAAAATAAAGGATAAATAAGGGATGAAACCCTCGGCGTTGATCAATCCCTGAGGGATGCGCCATGCATTCGACTTCACCAAACATCGTTGGAGGTGATTAAATGCATATCTGGTCTTTACAATGATTTACGGTGGCCTGTCGATGTGTCAAGCCAGTGCTGCTCTCCTCTTAGACAAGTCTGGTACCAATTTGTCCACCCGGGAGGGATGGAGCGCTTGGTGAGCCATGGGCGCGAGAATCGATCTCATGTGTGCGTCCCAGGGCGACTAGGACCAGTGCGCCACACGTGTAAAGTCATGCAGTAAAATAAAAGTGAATGTAAATACCACGCAGCAATATAATTAATTCACGACTGTACGTACTGACGGTGATGTTGTTTCTTCTAATTCTCCAGCCAAAAAACTTTAAAATTAGTTATGAAAGTTATGCAAATGTTTATGAAACGCATAAACGACCAAGCCAGTTTCTTCTCGAATAAAAGATTACTTCTCCACTAGTGGAGTAGTAAAAAGTTGAGAGCTTACAGAGCTTGTAGCTTGTAGTACTTATAGAAGAGCCTTTGTTGCATAGATTTGAGGATGTGCATAATTTTTAGAGAATATTCTCTTAGGTTAACATTTGTCCGGTGTTAAAACATTCAAAAAATTGGGAACTAAGTCGAAATTTTTGGAAGTTCCAACGCAACCGTGGTATTCGCAAACACCGCCGATACATCGTGGGAAACCATACTAATGCCCTGTTTGACGGAGTCCCACCTATTCAACTGCTTTCGGTTCGAAATAGTAGTCTTTACTTGTAACAAAAAGTTTATAGATTACTGGCTTCTTTAAAATAGCAAAGTTTGCTAAGACCTACAACAGCTTAAGTTTAAATGATGCTGAGACAGTTGAGTTCGATCCCCACCACAAACAACCGCGGTCCAGAGTTTTGCAATTATCCCAACATTTCACATCATACCCTGTTACAGGAAGAATAGGCAATAAATAAAAAGTGACTATGGTTTAACTTCTATATATTGCCTATTATTTTTTCATGGCAGGGTAGTACGTGGAACACAACCACAATGACGCTTAGATATGAGCAAAACTCAGAACCTCAGTTAGGCCCCGAACCCCCGATTAGCCTTTTTGGAGCTCACGACGTATTACCCTCTGCACCGCTGTGGTCGTTTCTCTGCCGTTCTCCTAGACAGCTTTTTTTATCCCAACGGAGGGGGCTCCGCAGGTCATTCTCCTTGACGCGAGATTGGTGACAGCGGCGCTAGGGTAAAAAACTGGCAGGGAGAATGGCAAAGCAAGGCCCACGGTGATGCCGTGGGTAACATGTGAGCCCCCGGCAAGCATAATCACAGGTTACAACAGTTTATTCCAAACCTTAATACTGCACGGTACGCATCGAAATAAATGCACATCGTTGTGGATGTCTTGCTGAGTAAATTACGCATGAAACCCATAGCCGATTTTCTTATTCTCTGAAAGGCAGAAAAGGCAGAAACGTTGAAAAGCCGCGAAGGAAATCTCCAACTCCTCGGCAATAAGTCGCACGACGATTGATTTCTCTGTACCGTAAACTGGTCATTATCTTTAAGTGGAAATTGTGAGCTACAGCGGAATATAAGGGCCAAATAAATAAAGTGTAAAAATAAACGGTGGTAAGAAGCTTTAATGGAAACAGATAACAAAGGAAAATTACTGTACGTTCCGTAACAGTGAACCAAATAGGACGTACGCTTTTCAAAATGTAATCCGAACGTCCGGTTTTATTAGGTATTATGCAGTACTGAAGGGTTACAAAACCATAAGAATGATAAGGATGACAATAATGACCGTTAGGCAGTGTAGTAACAAAACAGAGAACGAAATTGTTGTAGAAACTGTACTGTAGTCATCACAGAACCAATAATCCCACCATAAAACCTTGAATATACGAACATAAGAGGACTATGTATAATGAAGAACTCAGCTATACAAAAAAAATTCTTCCTAGAAAATGTCTCTACCGTGTTCTGATGAAGTTTTGCCGTGTTCGTCCACTGCGAGTCGTCCGCAGTCGAGCGCCTCGTCAGTGCCAAGTTCGGCCTCCGACTTCCGCCGTCGTACAGTCGCGGCTTCCGTGCGATGAACCGTGAAGCTGGAAATTAAAGAGTCGGTAACTAATTCAAATCGGAACCAATAAGGTTACTCAATCGAAATTCATAGCGAAATTTATGACTTTGACGAAGCTAAATTAAACAGCTCTACCAATTATGCTAACAAAACCTGTTCCACAGAAAGGAATCTCTCAATACCCACTTAATCGCTGTTTCAAATTCTTAACCTTCAGATTTGTAGGGCTCTAAAGTTTAAAACTTCACTAACCAAATGGAAGAAAGCTGTGAAGAAAGTAGCTTTAGACGAAGTAAAAAGAAATTTTAATCAAGTAACTGTCCTAAGTTGATACAAGCGAGATACAACCTCAGCCGTGAGAATCGAAATTCTAAGCAACATGTGCTAAGGGAGTGGTATTATTTATACGGGCTCTGTTGAAATACTTTCGTATGCCAAGGAAAACCATCTGTTTCTTTTCAGTCTGATCCTGCTGGAGTAGCTAAAGATTATATGAACAGATATTCTGACAATGTATAACTTTTTATTTGTTGCCTAACATTTTTTCATGGCAGGGTATTATGTGTAATACAACCATGATGATACTAAGATATTTGCAAAATTTGGACCCCAGGCCAAATTCTTAATCCGTGATTACTCCTTCTGGAGACTCACTTTTACGTGTACCCGTTGTACCACACAGACCTTTGCTTTGCCTTTCCTTCTGCCAGTTTTCTTTTACCTTAACGGGTATTATTCTGACATCTAAAATTCTCCCGAACGTCAACAGTTATTTATTATCCTACAAATGTTCGGATCGGATTCGGTAGTGAGTTGAGAATATGCTTCCTTATCTTCTCTCCCCTCTCTCTCTAGAGTTCCTAAATAGTTATGAGTTGGGCGTTCCACGGTTTTTATCACAGATAACTGCCGTCTAGCGTAAATTGAACACAGGTTTATTACCGTTCGAGTGAAATTCCTCAATAAGAGGGCGGCGATTCCTCTAACGGAACCCACACCTGCAAGTAGTCAACCGATCGATAGAAGACAATGTAAAAGGTGGAATCTGAATGAGGACTTTCATTTACGTTTACAAGACTCGTCATCACATCTACCATGCGGATCCCAACACTTTTTTACATTCAATTCGTTTCCCTTGCATTCATCGTCCACAGTGGTCTTCGAACATTCCGCGTGGTGTTTCGGATGCTGCTTGAGAATTTTGTCTTCTTTATGAATGTCGTAGAATGCTGGTCGAGCTAATTCTCCAGACAAACTTGGAGGTAGCCGGACTAAGGCGTTTCGATAATCACAAGTAAGATTTTTGAGAAAGATTTACTTGCCAAAACTGTGTTCCTTCCAAAGAACAAAGTCACTTGTTAACCTGAATAAACAATTGTTCCCAACAGTCCATATGTCTTGCACGCGTTAGAATTTACACCTGTATATTTTCATTCCTTGTCGTTTTACCACTGGCAATAATCTCATTTCAGTACTTTTCAGGAGAAGAATACTAAAATAGGACATTTCGAGGTAAATGTCAAAACCACTCACAATGACGACAGGCCGCGCGATGTTGGGTGAATGAATTCGAGCGAGTGGAGGCTCCGGCTGAGATCGTGCTAAATGCAGAACACGTTGAGCACTGATTTCTTACAACGTTTGATAAAAAGGTTGATTAAAGAAATCAGGAAACAGAAGTTGGGAAAGAAATTTTTCTGATGTGGAGTGATACATCGATACCAATCGAAGAAAACGTTTTTCTGGGGTAAATCATAGAAGTGAAAGACAAAAGGGTACAGTTGACAAGCGAGAACACTACGTATGAAACAACTGGGTTTGGATTTGGTTCATTTCGAAAAGCCAAGCACAGACCACGATCAGCGGCCATACGCGGAGAAAAATTATGCATGTAAAACAAAAAAAAAGAATGGAAAAAGAAGGAAAAACAATGTATGAACAGACAAGACGATACTTTGAAGAGCTATAGCATCAACTACATTTATTTGTTTAGACCAAATACGATGCAGATGAAGCAGATGCTTAACGTCAATTCTGTTAATAAATGAAGTTTTAAACATTGAATATTGAAGTAGACCAAATGTTATATGAAGGATGAAGACGGCTTTAAACCACTAAGAAAATCAGAAGAACATCTGAGACAAAAATGTGAAAGAAGGAAAAAGTGTAAAAGAGATACACGGTGATGATTGATGAATGATGACTGAATGATTAAGAAGACGAATAGAATGCATCATTTTGTCTTTTTGTCATCGTTCCCTTCAATCAAGCATTACCTGCGTAGGAAAGTTCACTGGAAAAAGTCACTGAAACAATATAGTGAAGTGATGAAGGAGCTTATGAAAAACGTTCACAGCCAAGTTGTCGCATATAAGCGAAGAAAAAAAACTCTGACAAAAACGGGAGTTCTCGGCGTTTTGCCCTCACGAAAGTGTACCGTGTTGAGAAATGGTTAATGACTTCCGATTAGCACCGAGAGAGAGATTCCCATTTTTAGGTATTAACCTCTGCGAGAGCCAGCTGGTCATCATAAATGACGATCGCAGATGATAACGACGACAGATGATCGATAAGCACTTCGCTTACACAACAGGGAACACCTTTATCTCAATAAAAAGATAAAATGATAAAGGGACCAAGCGGTGATCAACCTGTGGTGGATGCGCCATGCATTCGAGTTCACCAAACATCGTTGGAGGTGACTGAATGCATATACAACCCCTAAAATACGAGGACGTATCAAGTGAGTGTTTTTAAAGGAATGGAGAGCTTGGTTAGGCCAACATATAGAGTTGAACTGGCGACTATCTGTCTAGTGCACGACATCTCCAGCTGCTGCGCTATTAGCGGGTGTTTCCATAGCACTCTATTGGTACTCAAAAAAGTTTAAATCGTTCTTTAGCAGAAACTAAATTCTGAGCCCGAATAAACTTTTTATCTATTTATGGTCTACGTGTACGATAATGAAAAGGAAAGGTTAAATCAACCAAAAATAGAAAATGGAAATCGCAGCTCATGGCTGAAAACAGTCGTACCACTTCCTAATAAAATGTAACAAATGTTACTTCGCGTAGCACCAGATAAGATCAGGAATTTTAGGCAAAAAGTCCAAAGGTAAAACAATTCTAAGGAAATTACATTTTACAATCCAGTTAACTTATAAGGCCATAACCTAGTGACCCAAATGATTATTCAAATATATCTGCATCCATTCTGATGACAATCAAGTAGGATAAACAAAGGGAATTCGAAGCAAACACGGGGAACGGCTGGTTGTTGCGGCGCTGAACATAAATGCTTTGAAAATATTCCAGTGAGTTGGAAAATTCCATCGTTCCAAGTTTTTACTCAGGTTTCCTACCCAAGCTTGAGGCTGCTCGATACAAGCGGAAACGAGACCAGCGTGAGAATAACGAAAAGACGAGCGTTCAACTCTACTAACGAAACAATACAAATTTTGATGCATCGACCGGACGAGAACTCGTCCAACAAGGAATAACGAAGTTGGAAAATTATTGTTCTACCTGTGGAAAACTTCCACACAACACTAAGTGACCATACACTTTTGCATTGGCTACCTGGCTCATTTATTTCGAAGAATATGGATTCTTCATCAATATTCTTCGAACTAATTAACGCGAGCTCGAAGTTCACAACATTGCAGAAAATACGTATCTCCTTAACCCACGCATCAGATATACCGTAGACTGACACTGAAAAAAGCAAAAGTAGAAAAAACCAAAAGCCACAGAAAAACAATGAACATAGGTTTATAGGCGACGGAAGGATAAGGAAGTATGGCTCGTTCAGGGAACGTCTGTCGTTGACGTCCCTAGCGCTAATGAAAAACTTTCGCAGCGAGCTCGTGCTCACAGTCCCGGAAAACAAACCCTGAGTTCGTCTATTCAGAAGCTTAAACTAGACTGTTACATGAATTTTTCTTTGGCTAACGTCTCGGCCACTTCGCACTCTTCATAACCAAAATGGTCTCAATTGAGTGTCCAAAGAATTTCACTGTTGATTAATCTCCGTGGTCGCATTGCGCCAATTCAGTGAGGTGGAGCACCGCCCGAATGAGGTGACCTCATCAAGCATTTCTCTACCATACAGATTCATTATTAACCTTTGATTTGCACAAAGCATACTTTATTCCCGTTTAGGAGGTAAACTCGCCAAACACCAAAATCTATCACAGTTGTCAAAAAAATGTAAAAAATGGTAGCACTTTAAGTAAGATGTTAGTTGTTATTTCGCTCATATGACCACTGAAAATCGTAGTAGTAGACAGAAACTGTCAAAGGGCACCTGCTCAAAAGAAAAAAGCTCTACCAGCCACTTCGTTTATAGCGTGAGAAGAAAGAAGCTTGACACTTCAATCGCGTCGACAATTTTATGCACGAACATGGCACTTGAATAATACCCTCCTCTAAAATATTTACAAACGGCGCACACAGCTTAAAGCCGAACTATCGTGCTCAAAGATTTAAAAAGTATCTCGCCTTTTGGTAGGAATGATTACATCGAATCAACGGGAAAGTAAGCACAGCAATGAAAGGCTTTTCACAAAGACCAGATGATCGGTGGAGGGGACCAAAAGAGCATTTATGTACTCTCTAGGTCGAAAACCTATATGATTGACGGATGTATCTTGGCCAATGCTAACGAACTGGACTAAAAGCTGGAAAACGATCTTTGGATCGTGGAATGATGCTTTTAGAGGTGTCCTGATAGACGATGATCGTGAGCGAACGTAGTGAATGAAGAATGTGCTGGGCCACCGACTCGAACCGTATCGTCCATTCAAACACTAAAATACTAATATGCTTAACGAAGGTTCGCGTAACTTTTTTAATTTGCTTCTTTGTCACGTAACTTCCCAAGCGATAGTCATGATATTTTATTGGTTCGACTGCTGAGTATTTCACTTTCACTTTCTCTCCTATTCGGATGATATTGAGTACAGTACTTCACGAAATTCTTGGATACCCTGGCAGGACGCTCTCAAGCAGAAAAAGCAAGAATAACTCTATACAGTGCAGTAGTACAAAAGGAACGAGCAAGGATACGCGATGAACACTCTCAAGTTGATTCTCGGTTGCTGCTTAAGGATTTTTCGCCCTTGTCACCGATGTCATCGAATGGTCGAGTCGACTCTCCCTAGTATCACGAGGTAGCCATACTAGAGCATTATAACGTGGATTAGAGGGGAGTTTCGTAGACAGTTTGTCCTAGACTAGCCATTAACAAATTCTAGGAGGGAGGAGAGGCTTAGTGAGCTGGGGAGGGATCGAACCAGCGATAGAATGGGTTCGTTCGTCCGAGTGGTGAGCGGAACCACTGCCATTGCATTATCTGCTCCATTTGTTCGATTTGAAACTGTAGATTAGGAAGACCCATATTTAGGATTGTGTGGCGAACGACGAACGTTAGATACATTTGGAAATGAAAAGAACTATAAAAAAGGGCTATAACAGTTTACGAAAACCTGTGTGGATTTCCATAGATCAATGACGAAATTTACAGCTAATGTAATCCGTGATCCTCTCAACGGTTTACGCCTGATCGTGACTAGGAGGTATTCCTAGGTGTCAGACTGTAATGTGCAGCAAGGTTTCCCAAACTGAGGAGTCCGGCGTTTCCATCAGGAAGCCCAGCTAAGATAAACTAAAATCAGGATTCACCACCGTCCTGGTATCAAAGTCGCATAGTGGTAAATCTTGCTCTGATCCACAAGGTGCGACTGCCTGTGGTGGTGACGACCTGGGGCAGATTTTGGCCATACTGGCCTCGGGATTCCAGGGAACCACAATGGCTTAGCCAGCAAATCTCTGCTGGGGCCCGCACAACCAGTGAGGACAGGTCGTTAAATGTCAAGTAAGTAAGTAATCTGTAATAAAAAGAGCACACCCTATGGAAGTGGTATGTCTGCTCGTCTCTTGTGCTAAAGATCTCTCCGATTTTGGGTAATTTTTAACAGCATTTACTACTGAATTTTTACTTTAGGGTGGAAGCAGCGTCATGCGACTGACGATAAATGAACGTTGCTGGATTTGATGGAAACTCGTTTAATGAACGCAACGTCAGTAACACACCAATAGACCGAATTCTCACCACTTTTATCCTAATAAAGGATTACTTCTAAAGAAGCGAACGGTAATAACAATAAGGATTTTGTAAAGACCTCGTGTCAGCTTATTAATGAAGTTCGCTGGGAGATTGCCAAAGGCCGCAGCAAAATTACGCAAAATCGAAAAAATCAATAGCAGTAAGTCGGTGGCGAAGAAGAGCAAACAAAGAGCTTTCAGAAAATGCATAAACACAAAGCGAAACGTCAAGCACCTCCTTGGTAGGCCGCCTCTCGCATTTTTTCATAAAGGCTGAATTCTGTAGACTGCGAACCGAAATTAAACCAATACCGGAACACACCACCATCTTAGTATCAAAGTCGCATGGTGGCAAATATCCCTCTGATCCACAAGGGCTGCAACTGCCTGCGGTGGTGAAGACCTGGGGCAGACTTTGGCTAGGCTGACCTCAGGATTCCATGGAACCACAATGGCTTAACCAGCAGGTCTCCGAAAATGATGATTATGCTGGGGCCCACACAACCGGTGATGACGGGCCGTTCAAGTATCAAGTAAGTACGAACCGAAATATGAGGCGCAACATTGAACAAATGTGCTAGTGGTATCAGGTTGTTCAGAAATAAATGAGCGTTTTTCACTATATTATTTAAAATGTCTTAACTTGTTTCAAACAAAGTTTGTTGATCAAAATAAAAACGGCTTGAGTCTACGCATCTTTGCCAACGAGAAACAAGTTCATTTATTCCAGTTGCGCAGAATCTTGGAGTTCCCGAAGCGATGAATTCGTTGAAGGTAGTTTTTGCGTCATCGTGGTTGGTGAAGCATTTCTCGCGCAGATAGTTGTCAAGGTGCTTAGAAAAGTGATAGTCGTAGGCGAGAGGTCTGGTGAATATGGCGTATGAGACAAAGTTTCGTAGCCCAACTCGTTCAACTTCTGCAGCGCTGGTTCCGCAACGTGAGGCCGGGCTTCGTCGTGTAGAAGCATTGGTCCTTTTCTATTGACTAATCACGGTCGTTGTTGTTGGAGTTTGGCAAAATATAAAGAGATGATTACAAAGAGCATAAAACCAGCTTTCAATGGTATATAATATTTCAGGGTACAAAGAATACTTTATGGGTAAAAAGTACATTAAAACAATGAATGCTTTAAAACGCTGATCTATTTCTGGACAACCTATAATGCGTTACTTGATGACCAAGTACAGAACTCTGGTTTTCGCCGTGAACTACGCACCGATTATCCTCCCTTCAGGTTCCTCTGATCGGCTACTCCAGATTCTACGCGCCGATCACTAGACCATATAAAAGCGCAATCATAAAAAGTGATGAAAAGTGAGACGCAAATGGATTAAAGAGATGCGCTCACCACCACCTTTATTTCCAGTCTACTTATACTCTTCTTTTAATAGAATTTCCTTTCACGACGCTCTCATTTACTTTTCCTTTTTTTAAGCCATTTTTAATGCATAAGTGCATGGGCATTCCTAACATGTGCAGACTATGTCATGTGCTTCAGCGAAGCCAAAAGTATACAATGATTCTGAAGCATATGAGTGATATTTAGAGATCAGTACAACAGACAGATCCAATTTCCACTTCGGCTGAGTTCGACAAGCTCTCTCTCGTGAGTACATCCAGAAAATGTGACAAAGCTCTAGGATCTACCCCCGCATAAAACGTAATCTGGAGCTTTTAGCGCTGAAAACCCAAACATTAACGAAAGGTATGGGGTAACACTTATGAAGAAGTGGAGTGAAGAAAGGCTATCGACAATGCACTCATGATCGATGTCATATGTGAATTTCCAGCTTAGGTTTATTCAAAAGAAAAAGAAAGCATCCGGATGGTTTGCAAAACCAACAAACTCCCCAACTCTGACTCTCTTTGACTTCCTTGAGTACAATAACCTTTGAACGGTGTCTCGGCTGTTAATCGGTGGCTAAACTTTAGACAAATTTTGAACCCAGGCATAACAGCGCCATAAGGCCCTCTAATAAGCCGAAGAACAGCTGCTGCCAAAGCCTTAGTTTACATTTGAACCACCAATTAAACCGGACTTTCTCTCTCGTACCGTAAATATGGGAAAAACTGAATTTTCAGTAATAAAAGCTGTCCAACTGGAACGTTTGCAAGTTTTTCATTTCTTGTCTCGTAAGAAATGCACAGAACTGGTGTTAAAGGTGAAAACATAAAAACGTAAAGAAGAAACCTAAAGTACGAAATAATACCAGAAGGTTGATATATTTATTTATGTGATCTTAAAAATTGATCTTCTTAAGCCGACGCGAGGTTGCTATAGATCTTCGTTGTCGTTGTCGTTGTTCTCTCTCTTGAGGCGTTTTGGATAAATTTCAAAAATCCAAAGATGAACCGGAAGGACGAATGCCTCACTATCACGCGTGACGTGGCGCCCTATTCCAAAATGATATTTTGGCCCCGGGGCGTGTCTTGCTCGCGTGAACTACGTGTGGGCCAGTCCCGCACGTAACATCACGGCGAGTGGCCTTTCTGTTCAATATGACGTCTATTTGATCTTCATTAATACTTTAACCTTCTTTTCCACCGAATAATAAAAAGTATTCTAATATAACATACGTCCAGGCTCTGAGGAAGGCGAAATCGCCGAAACGTCAGCCATCGATCAATAACATCAAAAACAACTACAACGAAGACCTGTACCAACCTCGCGTCAGCTTAAGAAGATCAGCTTATAAGATCACATAAATAAATATATCAACTGTCTATGCCGAAGTTAATAGAAAGTCGGTCTTTCGAGTTATTAAGAGATGTTCCAGCAAAACATTTCCGACTTGTGAGAGGCGCATTGTCATTAAGACAGAAAATCGTCCTAATGCGACAAAAGACCTACTCTCTACGCCGCTGCTTAAAACATCGAATTATTCCTAACTTTATAAAACGTGGGAAATTATGCGAAGTATGCGGCTTACCGGAGAGATCTCAACAAGTGCTGAGCATCGAAATGAAACTGCTACGCATTTCATTGCGGTGCACACAAAACGAAATGTTTTCACTATTAAACAAATGTGTGTACAAAGAAAACCATTGTGCTCAGCATTTGGAGAGAAATCTTTGGAAGAGAATAGCAGCTGGGTCTAAATCGGTATGCGGAAAGATTCGGTCTGATATTAAGAGCAAGTCAAGGAAAAAGTTTGAAGATCTATCACGCCGCTCAAAAAGGCTAAATGAAAGAACCACCGCTGGTCAAGTCCTAAGTAAAGGCCCTACAATAGACTGCGCACCAAGAACATCCAGAGTTACTGTGCTAGGAGGTATAACGCTTCCAGAAAATGTGCGTTCCTTGTTAGAATTGGGTCCGAGTTTTGCACCTAGTCAACCCATTTCTAAACCAATCCAGTGCAGGATCACGTGTAGTCTGCATGAACTTCAAGATCAGCTACGTTACACGGTTAGGCTAGAAAGGTTAGGTAAAGTAGTATCAAGAGGGGAACTACCACCAATACCCTTTTCCCAAACTTTCTTTAAACAAGAGCTACCAAATAGCGATATTGACCCTACATTTCGTTTATTTTCGGACAAAATTCTCCGCATACTTAATCACTACCGAAAACGAAAAAGAAGCTCCAACCTCACACACCAACAAAAATGTGGTATGCGCCAGGTTAGAGAGCTTTTGAATTCAAAATCTGTTAGACTTTCTATTAGTGATAGAGATGGAGAATTTGTAGTCAGCCCTAATCAGTTGGATATTAGGATAACAGAGGAGCACCTCAGTGATGTTTCTCTCTATCGAACATCCTCTGAAAAGGAATACAGAAATCAATACCGAAAATTAAATCAAGAATGGGTCAGCACGGCAAAGGCCGCCGGTTTAGAGCCTTCAGTTATTTCTCGACTTAAAAACGAACACTCGATTTGCCCTGTCCTTTACTTGCTTATTAAAACATATAAGCTTACTTCAACTGATGCTATTACGTCAACGAACCCATTGTCATATAAAGTTAGACCTATCATCAGTTGTATAGGCGGGACAACGGATAGAATAACGTGGATCCTAAACCTTATCCTGACCCAGCTGCTAAAATTCATTCCAACCCATCTACCTAACACCAAAATGTTTCTGGATCACCTAAGGCGCGCGCAACCAAACAGCACGCATATAATGGAGTCATTCGATGTTACTTCACTTTATACCAACGTGCCCAATGACTCCGCAATGCAAGCCATTCTCGAGTTGCTCGTAGAGCACGAAAAGAAAATAAAAATGCACGGCTTGTCGATTGCGCAACTAATGACCCTCTTAAAACAGTGTCTTAGTTGTTCAATCTTTAGGTGTTCTGGAAAATATTGTGCACAAATCAGAAGGATGGCGATGGGGCAGCGTTTAGCACCAAGCCTTGCCATCGCTTTCATGTCTAAGGTGGAAGCTCCAGTTCTCGATCACCGACCCTTACTCCACTGTCGATACATAGACGACTGCTTCATCGTCTGTTCCACACAAGAACAGATGGATGAGTGCTTTGAATTATTAAACCGACAGTCAGAGTATATAAAATTTACACGAGAAAAACCTACCAAGAATTGGCTTCCATTCTTAGACATCCAAATAAAGCTCTCAGTAAGTGGCTATGTAACAAAATGCTATCGCAAGCCAAGTAGTAAAAACATTCCAGTTCACTGCCTCTCCTCTCATCCTTAACACATGAAAAAAGCAATTATCAAAAATATGTACCGTATGGCTAAAAATATGTGTATAGGAGAAGAGGAAAGGAAGGAATCGCGAAACCTGGCACGAAAAATTGTCATTTCCAATGGCTACGAAGTAGAAGCCACTCGGGTTAGAGGAAAACACTGGGTAGTTTCCCAAAATAATATTTCAGACGAAAATAAGATTCCCTTTAAGCTGCCCTTCATATCAAATGAAGTAAGTCACGCCATTAAAAAGTGCTTAAGAAAAAGTGGCCTTGAAAATTATGTAACGATTGTTGACATCCCACCCAATACCCTACGCCGCCAGTTAGTTCGAAACCGTCTCTATGATCGTTTGTGCAGTTCAGAAAACTGTATGATCTGTCCTAACAGGAGAGACGGAGATTGCATGAGTTTAGGTATAATATACTTGATCTCATGTAATGCATGCGGCGAGGAATATATCGGGAAAACGGGTAGACCACTTTGTGTCCGCATAAAAGAACATCTAGATGGGAAAGCTAAAATCCGTTTAAACACCCCTCTAGGTACGCATAGGGCACAAATGCACTACGGCGATGATTTTGAAGTGAATGTGCGGATCCTAGCG